CGGTAGAAATTTTTGCTTCATTTCTGAATGGTACTTCAATAAGTAAAAAAATAGTATTAGCGGTAGAAATTTTTGCTTCGTTTCTGAATGGTACTTCAATAAGTAAAAATTATGTATTAGCGGTAGGAAATTTTGCTTCAGTTTCTGAATGGTCTTCAATAAGTACAATTTTTTCATTAGCAGTAGACATTTTTGCTTCGTTTCTGAATGGTACTTCTATATGTAAAGAAAATGTATTAGATGTAGTAATTTTTGCTTCGTTCCTGTATGGTACTTCAATAAGTAAAAATTATGCATTAGCGGAAGAAATTTTTGCTTATTTCTAATGGTCTTCAATAAGTAAAAATTTTGTATTAGCGTAGAAATTTTGCTTCATTCTGATGGTGCTTCAATAAGTACAAATTTTTACTTCAATAGGTACAATTTTTGCATTAGCGGTAGAATTTTTGCTTCAGTTCTTAATGGTGCTTCAATAAGTAAACATTTTGTATTAGCGGTAGGAAGTTTTGCTTCAGTTCTGAGTGGTGCTTCAATAAGTACAATTTTTTCATTAGCAGTAGACATTTTTGCTTCGTTTCTGAATGGTCCTTCAGTAGGTACAAATTTTGCATTAGCGGTAGAAATATTGGCTTCAGTTCTTAATGGTGCTACAATAAGTAAACATTTTGTATTAGCGGTATATATTTTTGCTTCTATACTTAATGAAGTTAAATAATTATTAAAAGTAATATAAAACTTTATTAGAGTAAATATTCATAAATTATTACAAATATTCAATAAAATACAACAGTTTTGGGCGGAAAGACCTCGGTCGTTAGCCCTTTGGCTAGCCTATTAATATATATACATTTTTTATTTATTTTTTAATTTTATGTTAGAATTTATTTATTTTTATGTGTAGAATGTACTTTTTTCTTATGTATTGATGTTTGGCCAATAAATTATTATTTTTAATTAATTACAATAGTTTTTAAGTTATGTTCATATATGTTAAGTATATTATTGGAGCTTTTAATGTGTTGAGATTAAATTAAGTGGAATATATTTCATTCCATGCGATTAAAAACGGATCAATAAGATCTACTATATGTTTTATTTAATATTTTAATTCTTGTTGGTAGCTTTTGTTTGACATTTTTAAGCTTCAATTTAGTACTAGCGGTAGACATTTTTGCTTTATTACTTAAAAAAGTCAAATAATTGTAAATGATAATACAAACACTTATTATAGTGTAACTATCCAGAAACTATCACAAATAAAATACAATATTTTTAATTTGAAAATATATTATAGGAGCTTTTAATGTGTTGATATTAAATTAAATAGAAGATATTTTAATTTTTGATCCGTGCGATTAAGAATGGGGCAGTAAGATATGCTATATGTTTTATTTAAAAATTTCTAGGGGGTAGCTTTTGTCTGGCATGTGTAATCTTAAATGTAGTATTAGCGGTAGATATGTTTGCTTCGATAATTTAACATTTTAAGCTTAAATAAGTGGTAGATAATTTTGCATCATTGCTAAAATATGTTTATAAAAGATATGCCTTAAGTAACTTATAAAAGCTATTTATTGAGTTGAGATTAAATTAAATATAATTTTTTGTATCTTTTGATTATTTTAATATGCTATGAGGTATTTTTTAAATTTAAATTGTGTTGACAGCTTTCGTTTGTGCTTCATTTCTTAAATAATTAATTATTGTTTAAACAATAACATAATAAATTATTATAAATATATAAGAAAGTATAGAAATTTTAAATTTAAAGAGCTTTTTATCAATTGATATTCAATTAAATATAATATAATTGATATATATTTTTTTAGATTTTATTTTAGTTAAAGCTTTTTTATTGGACATATTTTTGTTACATTATATAAAGAAGTTCAAATTTGTAAATGATAACATATATAATTTTTAAGTTTATAGTAATGTTTACATGACTTAAGTAACTTATAAAAGCTTTAAATTAAAAACATTATATTATAATTTTGGTTCGTGCTATTAATAACGACAGGAGCTTTGTAATCTCATATAAGTTATTTGTTTACTGATTTTGTATAATATTTTGTATAAGCTGTATGATATTTATTCATAATTACTGAAAGGACTTGAATAAGTTAAATATTTGAGATCAGTAACAAATAGGGAGCTTTATAATATTTTAAAAGTAGATTTTTTTAAAATTTTATTGATTTTTTTGTTTTCATTTAACATTGTATTAGCCGTAAATATGTTGGTTTCAATACTTAAAATATTTTATTCTTAGGTACTGGAAAAAAAAACCGACCAGGCCATCGATGACCTACTATCAGAGACCACTAACCACCGATACACGTAATAGACACGGATGAAACCCATTTTTTTCTATTCGAATTACAGTAAAACAGTGATGACAGGCGGGATTATACGTTTTTTTACACTTAAAAGTTTGAGAAGCACTGCTTTAGAAGACCCATTTCACATCCCCAAAACAGATGTTTCGTTGTTCTAATGTTACAGAAAGTTCGTGCTGCACCCAAATTTTGTGACCATTTGTTTTTTCCAAGACTTTATCAATTATCTTTCACTGTTGAGCATGGACCAGTAAGATTTTGTGACAATTCCTTGATTGTTTTACACGGATCGAACTCCACCAATTTGGAACTTTTGAAACCATTAATAACACTTTCGGGTAGCTTCTTTAGATTTTAATCCTTTTTTTATCTCTGGTATTTGAATATTTGTACTATGGTCAAAATAATATAATTGTCAATTTAATATTGGACCTAATGATTTGCATAATAACTTTCGATAAGTAACAAAAGTGTGACAAAAATTGCAACATAATTATTTAAAACAAAGTATTTTATTTCTAAAAATCATTATTATCTATTGAACGTATTTTATATAATTTGTTAACTTTAATTTGAAATTAAACAAATATACTGACTCGTGATCATTGTGTAAAAATAAGTAAAATAATTTAAAAAACTTGATTTACAATATGTAAAAAATATATTAATTAACAAGTTAATAATACTATTCATTGAAATAGAATAACAAATGAAATGAATAACAATACAAATGTATTAGATATATATTTTAGTCATTTATAATTTAATCTTGAAATTTTCTTCCAAAATAACTGATGTAATGAATTAGTTCTGATTGGTTCTGATGAACATAACCTTGAAATTGCTTGAAATAGTTTGAGATTATTTCAGGTTACATGTGTGTTGCAGTGATTTAAAATGTTTAATTTAATTAAGCATAAGAAGTTAATTAATATTAGAACTTTCTGCACAAAGAATAATGCATACGACGTTATTGTAGTTGGTGGAGGACATGCAGGGACTGAAGCTTGTGCAGCAGCAGCCCGGATGGGTGCCAAAACCCTTTTGGTTACTCACAAGAAGAGTACAGTGGGTGAAATGTCATGTAACCCTTCGTTCGGTGGTATTGGCAAAGGACATTTGTTGAGGGAAGTTGATGCTCTGGATGGTGTATGCTCAAAGATTTGTGATTTGTCTGGAATACAATACAAGGTTAAAAAATAATTTCATATTTAATTAATAACTATTACAGTATATTATATCTTGCAGGTTTTGAATAAGAGGAAAGGTCCTGCAGTTTGGGGATTGAGAGCCCAGATTGACAGAGTTTTGTACAAGACTCATTTGCAGAATGAAATATTTAACAATACAAAAAATTTGGATATTATAGAGGCCTCAGTGGAAGATTTGATTACAGAGAATGGTGATGTGAGCAAGTGTTGTGGGATTCTTTTAGCAGATGGCACACAGATTTCTTCAAAGACTGTTGTCATTACAACAGGAACTTTCCTCAAAGCTCAAATCAATATAGGACTGAAGGTTTTTCCAGCTGGCAGGATGGGAGATGCTTCTTCCATTGGTTTGGCTAACACTTTGGAGAGAATTGGCTTACAGATGGGAAGACTGAAGACTGGAACACCGCCAAGACTAAGGGCTAACAGTATCGACTATGATAAATGCACGGTGCAAGGCGGTGATGATCCGCCCGTACCATTCTCCTTCATGAGCGAAAGCGTCTGGATTAAGCCCGAAGATCAGTTGGATTGTTTCTTAACCAATACCAGTCTCGATATTGAGCCGATCGTTAAGGATAACATACACTTAAACAAGCACGTGGCGGAGGAAGTTACTGGTCCTCGATATTGTCCGAGCATAGAATCGAAAATATTGAAGTTTGGTGGTAGGATTCATCACGTTTGGTTGGAACCTGAAGGATTCGATAGCGACCTCATTTATCCCAATGGACTATCCTGTACGCTTCCCGAAGATCTGCAGCAAATTTTAATCAACAAAATACCGGCTCTAGAGAAGGCGGAGATTGTGAAACCTGGCTACGGCGTGGAATACGAATTTGTGGATCCCAGGGAGCTGCGCAACTCTCTGGAACTGAAGAAGATAAATGGCTTGTTTTTAGCCGGTCAAATCAATGGCACCACCGGCTACGAAGAGGCGGCCGCTCAAGGGATAATCGCAGGAATCAATGCTGCTGCAAAGGTAACACATTGGAGCAGATAATCAGTTTGCATAAAACATTTATAGAAGAATTTCAGTGCTTGCAACGCAAACCATTGATTTTGAGTCGCACGGAAGGCTACATTGGTGTGCTGATTGACGATCTGACAACTTTAGGTACGAACGAACCTTATCGGATATTCACGAGCCGCGCCGAGTTTCGGTTGACACTACGACCGGATAACGCGGATTTAAGATTGACTAAGCGCGGATACGATATGGGATGCGTCTCCGAAGAACGCTACAAACGCACCGAAATGGTGTACCAGAAGCTGTCGGAAGGTGTCGACATTTTAAAGTCGCGCAGCAAAACTGTCTCAAAATGGAGGGAACTTATGGGTATTGAATCTTCTGTGAATAATATGCAAAGAAAGTATGGTAGATACTCAACACTTTCGGGGTCAAATCTGATTGCATGTAATATTTCAGCGGTTTCGAGATGATGCAAAGCGGATCGGAGCGCATCACCGTAGAGTCCTTGGCCAAGGTCGAACCGACGTTCCAAAAGCTCCTGGAGGATTCCAGGATAGCTCAGCGGTTAGAAATCGAAGCTTTATATCATATGGCAATCGCGTCACAAGCAGGAGAAGTCGAAGAGGTGATAAGGGACGAGGCCCTTCTAATTCCACTAGATCTAGATTACAATTCGGATTCGTTGAATATGAGCCTGGAGGATCGCGAGAAGCTAATCAAAATACAGCCGCCCACAGTAAGTATACCCAAGAAAATACACTGAAAGCTGTTTTTTTCATTATTTTCAAATATCACGGATTTTGTCAAATTAATTATTCTCCTAAAAAGGTGAAAATGTTTCTGTGAATGAACCTGCTACTATTAAATTTTAGCTACAAATTGTGAAAATTATAGCAGATGGTTTATTTGCTGATACAGATGACTTGATAGTTGAAAAACCGCTTGGATGATGAACTAATGGATGAACATCTGATGGAAGAAAATCATAGTGATTCATCATCACAACTTCGCTCACTGCAAGTTTAATAAAAAAAAGGGTTTTAAACCGAATGGAAATTAACTCATTAATTATTCTTTTTCGATGTTATATACACGTAAACGGTAGATTGAGTGTACATTTTTATAGATAAACTCTTAATTTATTGAAGTCGATAACAACCTAACAAACTGCTATTATTTGCTTTTTCTTAAAGAAAATTTACAATTTTATAAACAGATCAAAATACAGTCATAATTAAATCAATAAGATTATTAATTACACTTAACTGGTTACAACCTACTAAGAAGTTATATAATATGATCGAAATATACNNNAGAAAATTATCAACATACTTGTTACCTAATTTTGCGTCTCTTCCATGATTATTTAACACTTTGAAGAACATGAATATTTCTTACATGACTTCTTGAATTAAATCTTGAATTTATTCACATTGAACTTAAAGAACATAATTTACATGTATATTCCTTTCTTTTTTGAAATTTTCTACGTTTAAATATTGATATATTACATGATTTTCTTACAATTCAACAAAAAGATGTTGAATTGTGAGAAAATCATGAGCATCATTTATTGCTTATTTAACCGTTTACTACTAAGAGAGAACTACAATTAATTCATAATACAAATTATAACTTTACAAAAAAATGTAGATCAAACTAAACGTTTTAATTTCGTATATTATTGAACAAGACTTTCTCTTTAGATCGCAGCTGCAAGTCGGATTCCTGGAGTCACACCGTCGGCAGTTTACAGGCTGCTCAGGTTCGTCAAGAACACGACGCTCGAGAAACGCCCGAATAAAAGAACCAACTTCCTACTGTAATATTAAATATATTTTACCTTCTTTTTATTATAAAAATTAATAAAAAATAATAACAGATTTAGTCTTTTCTAGTGTTTTCTTTCATTCAATGATACGCCTATATTTTCATACGGCCGCTGCCGCCTCCGCTCTTCACGTCGAACAACTTCCTAACAAAGTACACTTGGACGGTAGTCGTCAGCGTGATGATGAGGATCTGCGCGATGGACCATTTCATAACGTAACTGTTGTTATCCTCGAGAAGATTAAAGTCACGGGTCTCCCTGCCCCTGGTTTGGTGCTGGTATTGAAGCATTTCATTAATGTTCTTCTCAACACTCACTAAACCACCCTAGAATCAGATAATAATTATGAAGCAAGGAGAAAGTAGATTTTTCTTGTGGATTTAATTTACAGTGAATCCTTCCATGTTCAGGTTGATCTCCTCCAGTTCTTTGGTGTATTCCTCCCATTTATCATATCTCACAACTGTTATGTACAAGTTCACCAATTTATCAGCAAATCTGGAGAATTGGTTGTCTATGCAGATAGAATAATAGCCACCAGTTGATTGTTGATCCTGGTATTGGCTTTGGGATTTCCATTGGTACGGATGAACAATCTGCCCAGATGGATGGCGGACAGCAAATCCAGCCATGTTATCTCCACCTCTCAGGACCTACAACAATCATTGTCATCATATGTTTTCAAAGTTAGACTTATCACTTCAAGTATGCAACTTGATTTGTAACAAAAAAAAAAACAAACAAAAACAGATAACATATGCTTCATTAAGCTGTATATATCAGCTGCAATCATCTTCAGGGTCTGGTGATATTCTCTTACCTGGAAACTGACAAAGAAGGTGGCACCTGGGTTAACATATTGGAAATAGCAGTCTTCCTTGCCGGGATCGATGTGGACTTTATAGTCCATTGCGACAGCTGGAAGATCTTCATACCAGGGGACGGTTGGGGCGGTGGCAGTGGTAGACGAGATCAGAACGATTAGCACTGCACACAGGTGGACCAAAAACGTGGCACAAAACATCTTCATCGTACAGAAATTGTACGGCGGGTGGCCTAATAAACTGGACTCGCCGTCGAAAGCACCACGGCACTACTAAACCTAACGGCAATCGCTTTCTAAATACTCCCACTTGTTGTTGCCGTTCAGACCGAATCCTTTTTTTTTATCACACTTCGTCATCCCGAATGCAATATTTTTAAATTAATACAAATAAATCTATTTAAAAAAAAACTGATATCGAAACGCCAATCTTAGTAGTTTTATTCTGCAGTAGATTATCCGAATTAATATTTACTTTTACTTTATAATAATTACTATTATTAATCTACTTATCCTTCTTTAGGGAGGACAGTCCTCCTTTTGTAGGTTCTGCCCTTTCTCAAAGAGTGTCCTCCTACCTGTGCTCCTCCTTTTCGATATTTTATGATGCTACTAAAATCGATGACAACTGTCTGTTTGAAGAAATTAGAAGACTGAATGTATACTTAAATTCTGATAAATAAGAACAATGGGAAATATTTAACCATTTAAAAATGAACACATTTCATATGAAAATTATTGTTATTGTTGAATTTAAAAAAAGAAAGTTTTTTCAATTGGTAATGATTTTTGGACAAGTGAGAAATGAAGATTGAATGTTGATACTCTAGCTGCAGCACTTACCGTAAAATTCAATATGAAGGATATTTCTTGCTTCGAAATTTCCAAATATATTGTTAGAAAATGATGTATTGATAAAAAAATATTCATTCAATGAAAAATACTCGATTAATTAAATAATTAAAAGAGGTGTAAAGATAATTAGTGTATTTTTGATTGAATTAATAAAATGTTTTATTTATTTACGTTGTACTTTTTTCTTAAATTTGTTTCGTCCTCCTTTTCATTGTAGAAAAATTGGTCAAAAAGTTTATTTGAAGTAACTTAAACTATTTTGTAGAATATCTAGCTAATTTTAAGTGCTTTATTTTCATTGCACTTAACAAAACATTTCTAATAGATTTGGAGAACATATTAATGTGTCGATTAAATTTGAACTTTTAATTTCGTTTTCATTTTAAATTTCCAATATTATTTTTCAACTGTAATTATTTTTTATTGTAAGAAAAAATGTTTGTTTATCCTTTTGAAAAGGTATTATTTATTAACGTGTTTCGTTTCTTTACTTGAGATTATATGAACTGTCATTAATTATTGTTGTATTTTCCTCCTAATTTGTTAGTTATATTTTATTTATGTGCAATGTTTTCGTATTTCTTAAATATGTTTCTAAATTGTATTTTGTTTTCATATGTAACAATAAAATAATCATTTTTTAACTTTAATTAAAGTTTATTTCTTTTGTATATTCAATATTATAATTGAATAAGAGTACGAATATTTGATGTTCGACTTTAAATAATTTAGATTGTTTTTTTAGATTTTAAATTTTAATTTT